GAGAGTATAACATTATAACATGATATAAAACTCAAAAAAGTTGATTTTACATGAAATTGCCCCTTTAAGACTTCTTCCTCCACAAACAAAACACAATAATCCAAACGACGAATAGTTATGGAATATTGGCAAATTAGAGGTTGCAATCGCTTGTAAACTGGGACAGTCACATTGTTTGTTACTCACATGCAAGTAGTRCTCAGCAGCTGTGTTTGAACAGAAACTCTTGGAATGAGTTGGTGAAATGGCAGCCGTCCTTTAGGCAARAGACACAAAAATCTGGAGAGAGATTAGTTCTCAGGCTTCATCTTTCCTCAGACATTCCTGGTGCACTGTCATGCAGGAAGTGATTAAAACTGTTGCATAGAAATAAAAGGGGGAGTTGCAAAAGCTTTAAATTTGACTAATTTTGCTTCCTCATCAATTCTTGAAGAGTGTGTGTGTGTACAGTATTTTTCACTGCCACAGGAAGTTGCTGATGAGGGAAACAAACCAAGAGTTAGATTTGGGAAGTAGAAAAAGAGGAGATTTATTTGCTTACTTAAATAAGAATTTAWTATCATTGTTTTGCACCAGTCCACTCTGAAAGCTATAATTTTTTTAGCTTCGACCCAACATGTGGCTGGTCAAACTTGCCAGAAGCCATAAAAGTTAAAACCAAGAGAGAAAGGTTGAACAAGAGACAAAGACAAACGAGCGAGAGCAAAGAGAAGGGGATTGTTGTGATTAAAAGACAATTATCTGTGCACATCGACTTCCCAGTGTTGTGCGGTGTCAGGCTCGAGCTGAGCTGTTCTGTCCCAGAAAGCCTCTGGGGACAATGGCTACTGTTTCACGAGGAGGTTTGTTAGCAAGTCCTGGGTCCTCATGTCATGGTTACAGCACCATGCAGCTCTGTGAACACTACTGATGCCTTATATGTTTAAAATGTTCTTTTTAGTGCAGATACAAGCCCCCATTTCAAAATAGACTCCAATTTACTGATTTATAAATGTTTACTTATTTGATTAGTTACAGGTTTTTGTAGACATATGGCAATGAATGGCCAGAAAAATTATGTAACCAAAGAATAAATACAAAAATCCATTTCCAGTCATTTTAATTCTTTAACAAGTCAGCAATACCCTTGGTTAGATGAAGGGCCTAACAATGCATGTTGCCCACTGCCTTGCAARCCAAATTTATAAACAGTGACGTTCAGTGATCTGTTAGTGCTTGTGTTTGGGCATGACACTCAGTTTCTACTAACTTAAATCTTAGCATATTATTTGTAAAAGTGACAAGTTAGGTTCTCTTTTTTGTGRTGTCTAAGCTTGATTTGCTGTAACGGCCATGTAGAATCAGGTTTACCCTAAAAGTTAATCAGTTGTACAGTAGATCTTCCTTCTATAATTACTTTACGTTAGTTAACACTGTTGGCCTGCTGCACGAAGGTTGCATTTCTGTGTGTAGTTTGTATTTTGTTTGTATGCACTCACTGGTTTTCTCAGCATACTCCCATTTTGTCCCACAGTCAAAAAAACATGGATCTTAGGTCAGTTGGTGGGTCTAAATTGTCTAAAATATAAGGGTTACCATGATTGGCTGTTTACCTCTATGGATGGATGGATGGATGAATGAATGGATGGATGGATGGATGGATGGATGGATGGATGGATGGATGGATGGATGGNTGGATGGATGGATGGATGGATGGATGGATGGATGGATGGATGGATGGATGGATGGATGGATGGATGGATGGATGGATGGATGGATGGATGAGTTGTTGACTTCAGTTTACATGCCAACAGCAGTGACAAAGTTGAGGTGAAATATGGTACAAAAATAAAATAGCTAATTATATTTTGGGCAAACTTCTTCAGGTTGCAAGGAAAACTTTAATTATTTCATATAGACAGTCCCATATCCAGATTTATGTTACAACTAAAAAAAGTATGAGTTTGAGGTTTAAAGAACAACTTCAGTGGTGGATTTGAGGCCTACCCCTTGCAAGGTTCAAATTCCTATCATCTGATTTTTCAATTGTACACACAATAACTGACATTTTATACAAATGGATTGTTTTTAGATGGTCACTTGGGTGGGTTGACTGTAGATAACCTAATGTGATGTGCAATTAAAATGTGGTAATAACAGCTTTAAAAGTTGCATTAGCTGGATCTAACAGGAAACAAAACACAACTTTGCTTTGATTATTTTAGATTACTACAACCTGTTGTGGATGAGGTGAGGTTAACTTTTACAGAACAGAAAGCAGCCTTATAGTGACACCAGTTGACTGTGTGGGCCATTTGATGGTTGTGTAGGAGTCATTAGTGCCTTTATCAAGGCAGTAATGGAGAAGCTTTTTGTGTGAGCGTTTTGCTTGATAATGGGGCACTGAAAAGTGCTGTGGAAAAGTGATGCAAGTGCAAAAAATGGAAGACAAAAGAGTGACTGTGTATAAGAATAGTTAGCCTGTTTACTGTCAAAGGTGACATTGATTTTGTCATGTGTGTTACCGATCTATCTCATGAACAATTGAAAAAAAATGTTATTAAATAATAAAGTAATCAAAATGGCCACAACAAAATGACCTCTTCAAACACAAAAAAGGCACTGATTCAGTCAACATTTCATAAGTTCATCTATAGTTTGATGTGGTAGTAGCTGAGAGTCATCCCCATCAAATAGTCTGAGCAMAAACAGATTCCACAAGATTTTTGTTGAAAAGTTTACCAACAACTATTTGAAGTGGTTATAGCTTACATGTGTTCATTGTGCAACATCATTGCAGTGGTGATCAATTACTGAACAAACCCTGATGTGTGTTAGCAAAATATCTAATAAACAACTGGACAAATTTTCACTAGAGTTTCAGAGGGGAAAAAAGTACTTTCTGTCTTTGGAAGTGACTTTTGGAGCTGGCCCGGTTCAATGCTATCACAGCTAGCTGACTTTAGCTAGCATAAAAATGACAAATTCAGGCAGTTTTACAGATATTGAGCTAAACATTTGATGTTGTTGTAGCTGGTTGTAAATGACGACACACATTCTGAGTGTAACATCTTGCAATATCATGAGACTTTGCATGGTGCTTTTTATTTTACTCGACTGTGTAAACATCTGACTGCAGCTTAACCAATTGATGCTTGATGCAGCTTGTGGATATAGCAGTTCTTTTAAGGAGCACATCAGATCTGAATTAAATATTTGTGGGATTAAAATGATTGGTAATGCAGATTGGTTCAGCTCGTCCATGTTTTTAAATCCCTTTAATGCATTTAAGTTTGCTTTTAAATGTTCAAACTTGCATTGTTGATGTGTAGTCAAAAAGAAAACACAGACATTGCACACTAATGAAAGCAGACACAATGAAGTTGATTTCTCCAGCTAATTCAAAGCTTCTGCAAGCTGCTTTTCAATATTAGTGATTTGAAAGTTTGCCTAAACCCCGCTGGTAGAAAGAAAGAAAAAAACATCTGACACCACTTTGTCACACACTTAAAAGCTGATTTTTTTGGTCACTTGGGTCAAACATGACAAATCATTYTTCTGGTTCTTTAGATTTTTAAGCTTCTGAAGCATATTTTGAAAAATGACATTTAAAATCATGTGGACATTCCCACATCTTTTTCCTTTTTACTGTTCCTACGCCTCCTCCTCGTCATCCCCTCCYAAACTCACTTCTTCAGCTCTTCACAGGTTTTAAAAAAAGACTAAACAAAAATCTGTGTGTGCTCACCATCAATCCCAAATGATCAAAAGTGCTCAGTTTCAAACTTTCATCCAGCCCAAACCAATTGGTCAAATTGGGCAGAAAGGCCCAGGAGCTCAAAGCTTCACCCATATTTGTTGAGGGAGTTGGAACAGTGTGGCCCTTTGTGGTCCCCTGTGTATTTATGAATGGTTTAGCCTTGGGGCGAAGATTCAGAACAATGCTGCCACACTGAAGGGCTGAATTTCATATGGGGGGTGGGGGTGGGGGGACGGCAGTGGTGGTGGGGAGGGCAGTTTATTCTCCACTGTTGGGGCTTGGTACAGAGAGTGGCGAGAGGTTTTGCTGGGGCGACTCTTTGCATGCAAGTGACCAAGGAAGGACTGTGAAAACCCATACAGGGGTTCCTCAACATAAACCTTGGCTACAGTTACCTCCTCAGGTGAGGAAAAGCATTTTTTTTTCTCTCATTTATTGCTTTTTTAATGCTTTTTGAAGCATTTGGCATTTCAGATTTTTCTCGAGGGAAGAAACAAAAGAACACAAAGGTAAGAGAAAGTGCAAATCTCTCCATCTCCCTAATTTCGTTCCCTTTTTTAAGGTCAAACCCCTACAGTCGGAGTGAGTGTTTGTATGTGTGCGCGTGGTGGTGTTAACACTCATAACTGAAGCGATGAGTTAGTGATTGCAAAGCCGAATGAGTCACAAGTTAGGCAGAGTTAAGTCATGAGCAAGTGTGTGTTTGTTGGTAATTGCCTGGATGAAAAAACGTGTTTGTGGTTATGTGACGATGTGTGAGTGTTCACACATGAATGAGAAATGTTTGATATTTCGGTGGGGGCTGTGGAAAGCCCAGCCAATTATTACTGGTATTACTGGACAAATTTCAGCACATGAGCAACTCCTCGTTGGTTAATTGGTTTACCCCATCAAAACAACCAAAACTGTTTTGGTCTGCTTTTTTTTTGGAATTTTAGTTCAGTTTTAGTTCACGTTTGTTTTTTGTAATAAAACTTATAGAAGGTTTGGGCATGTCGATTCTCTGCGTTTACAGTGAGTTTTATTTTGTGCAATGTTTCAATTATTTTAGGTTTTTAAAGACATCGAAATAGTACCCCTTATTAGCTCAGCTAATGAATTTGAGCTAAATATCTACAAGGATTTTGTAACCAAAATGTTAGACCTTACATCTCGAATCATTGTCAGAAAATGTCTAAACCAAAGCACACTTTGGATTTAGGAGGTTTTGGAAAGATTGCAAAGTTTCAGGACATAAAACGCAGCTATCAAGAATTACCATACTTCCCACCCTGACCGTTTTTCGTTCCACATTTTTTGTCACCCATCCAAATGTCAACAATTCCAGACAAGTGGTGGTTGAAACTCATTTCTTTTTGTCTACAAAACCTAATCAAACTGTGTGTTTGTGGAGCCCTCCAAAAGAGCCACTTTTTATTTGTGCGTGCTGCTGAACAGGTGACTGCTCGGTTTCTCGCCTCGTTTTGTTCAAAGCGGAAGGGAGAGCGCTCCTATGAGAGAGGAGGCCTGTGGCTCACCATCTGCACGCAGGGATGGGAATTGCCAGACTTGTTCTGTTTGCCAGGTAGAGAAGAATTTAAAAAAGCTACTGGGTGCTCCTGGTCTCTTGTGGTGCTGGTGAGCTGCCAACCCCAAGCTCTCCTTGTTTTCTTGAACTGTTTTGTTTGCTCTCAGTTAAAAAAAAAAAAATCTTGACGCGAACCTGGTGGTGGGATTTGGAAGAGGGACAAAAAAGGGGGGTGTGAATTTAAAGTTCAAGCCTTGTTTTAAATGGAAAATGCTGCTCGCTCAGGGAAACCCACACAAAACTTTCTAAAGAGCTTTGAAGTCCCCTTATTTTCCTCCCTTTTCTTTTTGAAGAACACCTCAAATWGAGGTATCATTGTGTGTGTCCAGTACAATAATAAATGAGCTTTTTTTTGTATTCTATCTAAAAAAAAAAAAACAAGACGATACATCATGGGTAATAACAAGCAGTTTTATTTCATTTTTTATTCCTTTAAAGTCCAGTTTTTTTTTATTTCTGCCAACACCTTCTGCAATACTTTGAACAGACTGTGTGACTGGAGTCTCTGAGTGTGTATGGAGCGCTCGCCGGGCTCATCGCAGCTCAACGTGGCATGTGTGGGAGGGGGGAGCCGTCATGTTTTAAGACCANTCTTGAGTCTCTGAGTGTGTATGGAGCGCTCGCCGGGCTCATCGCAGCTCAACGTGGCATGTGTGGGAGGGGGGAGCCGTCATGTTTTAAGACCATCTGCTCCGCTGAGTATTTCAGTGGGGGCCTTAGCTTGTGGTGGATCAATGCGCGTCACGGGCAAGCGGCAAGGCGCAAGCTGTGAGCGGGCCTGTTCCGGAAAAAAGAAAAAAAAATTCCTCCAGTTCGTCCTCTGCACAATGGRCAGTGTTCTGCACACAAGGTTGCCATTCTTTCAGCCCCCTCCATCCGTGGAGCCGCGGCGCTGCTCTTGTGCACAAGCTGCAGACGATACTCACAATGAAAATGTTCTTCTTGGCACAGCCGACGGTTTGTGTGAGCGATTTCACTTACATAGATGAATCGCAAAAGGTTGCACGGCCTGATTAAGCTGCAATGAGYGTTCAAATCACATCTGTATCTCTCAGGACTGATGTGAACTAAGCAATTACAGTCAAGTTTGATTAGAAATGGATCTCTTGCAGAAGGCGATATAAGTATTGAATGAAGATAATTTTTTGGTGATGTAAGATCACAGAAACAAATGTAGAGTTTGACCTGCTGTTTAATGTATAGCTACAAACAATGACTGCAGTCCCAGCAGGACAATGGAGCAYGCTTCATTTGCAACAATCACAGAGGAGGTGCAGAGGAAGGTCACATATCAGCACGCCCAACACTGTCGAGAGTGCCGGCCTGCCGTATGCTGTGTGTGTGGGGGTTATGGCATGCTGATTATTCATTTGCGTACCACTCCAGAGCATCAGTGGGCCATTCTTTTCTTCAGTTCCTCTCCAGGCCAGGTTGTCAGTGGAGGGATTCCCTCGAGGCTAGCCTCAGCTCATTCAATGCCATCACTTGGCTGGTGGTCTGAWGGCTTTTCAACATAAGTGACACACTCTTGATGAAACAGTAATGTGTGTGCGTGTGTGTGTAGGGGGTAGGGGGGGGCTTTCTCATTGAAGACACAAGTTGTCTTTGTTATATTAATATGTAAACTAGGTGGATTTCTCAGTGGATCCATGCTTGTGTTTTCCACCTCCAGACATTCCTCATCAGGGGAAATATCAGATCTGCTTGTGGCATTAAATCAAAATGACATCATAGATTTAAAAAAAAATCTTTTCTGAAATTAAAATCTTCGCCACCGACTCTAATTATGGAACCTTTTTAGTCACAATAATAAACTCCGTATCAAAGTAAATCTGTGATTTATATAACCATTTTTTTTCACAAGTTCCTCCTACTCTTCATATGTTGCCTTCATGCAGCCTTACTGAAAGTCATATTGGCTATCCTCTCTTCATTATTCATGCTAAAGCACAAAYAGCATTAAGACTTTTTAAGTCACTTCAGCCTCTGTGACAGAAGGGTGATTCTGGCTCAGAGATCAAAGCCCATGGAATACCTCAGGGACGTGATGAAACAGAGGAAAAGAATGCTGAGTAGGCCATGGAACAGTTTTAACTACGACAGAAAGCAGATTTTCATCTTCCCACACCTCGTGTTAACAGGCCTCCTCTCTTCTTGTCTGCCAGTGGTTTTTGACTTCATCCTCTCCTCTGTGTCTTTTTCCCACAGAGCCTGGCATCTGGGACTCAGAGCAGGACAGCTCAGGGGGAGAAGAAAAACAACAGGGGAAGAGAAAGACGTCTTCGAGACGGCGAGGCAGCAGGAGCCTGGTGCTGAGGCTGGTATGAGGCAAGTGTTTTTTTTTTTTTTTGTGCGTGCCCTATAACCGTGCACACGTATGCTCTGTGTTCCGTGCCAGCTTGTTGTCCGTCCCATCAATGAGGCCCTTGTTGGGGTTAGTGGTGGTGTCAGTGGCCATGCCTGGCTGCTCAGCTCTGTTCTCCCCTGCTGATGCTGATGCACGGCCTCCCGCTCTCACTCGACATGCTCGTACAGCTCTTGTCCTTTTTAAAGATGGTTGAGATCGATGAAACGCTGGGAAGTAAAGTTGTATTTGTTGCAGTTTGCAGTGCAGCAATATGTGCCAAGATGTTTCAAAAGGTGGATCTTTCCAGTCTTGGATGGTGGTTTTAATAAACGCACCTGTCTTCTGATGTAGACATAATTTCATTTCATATCATTTCATTTATTTAAAAAGGACAATGCACATTAATCAATATTTAGTGAATCTAAATGCGCCGGAATTAGCACAAGAGCTAAATTTCATCCGTAGWCCTGAGCAGATAAAAAGGTAACAGTTCATAAAACAAGTRCACAAAACAGACAAAATTCAACACTGCCCAATAAACACACAAATTCMTGTCKACAARGTCTACRKTTAAATTATGTTACAGATGAATGCATGACTGATWTTCTTTCAGCCAAACTTYAAGTTTCTTTTTTAAAAATGGAATAACTGTCACAGTCTCTGATATTTGCRGGTAGTTMATTCCATAAGAGTGTTCTTCTGAYTGACGTGACCTTYCGACCAAACTCCRTTCTCCGTTTTGCGACAACACCGTCCCCTCTAGTTTGGGACCTAGTATTCATTCTGGATGTATATTTGTGAATAAAATCATTTAAAGGTGGAGGAGCTCATCCATTTAATCCCCCAAAAACAAAACTTAAATCACTGAATCTTTGATAATTTTYGAAGTCCAAGATCTTGTAATTATCAATGATTTTACAGTAATGATGATAAGGTTGTCTGTCAAGAACTTTAATTGTCTTTTTGAAAAGAGACTTGATGGGTTTTAACATATTTGCTGTTGTGTGGGACCAAGTTGTTAGACAATAAGAAATATGAGAAAAGATCATTGCTTGCATATACATTTTAGCTGCGTGTGTAATGAGAAAAGGTCTACTATGATGAAAATTGGCTAAGYTGAATTTTATTACATTAGTAGTTTTCTTAATGTGTTGCTTAAAAGTAAGATTTGTGTCAAACAAAACACCAAGGTACTTGAACTGATCCACCCCATCAAGTTTCTCTCCATTTACAAAAACACTTGGCTTTGGGTCATCTGCTTTCTGGCATGAAAAAAACATGCAAACAGTTTTTTTTTTTTGTGTTAAGATACAAGCATGAATCTTGAAGCCAAGTTGCATACCGGTACCATAGCAGTAGATAATACAGCAGCTGCATCCTGCGCTGTTTTAGCATGTGTATACAATACAGTATCATCTGCATACAGCTGAACTTTAACACGAACATACTTCAGGTAAGTCATTAACATAGAGACTAAAAAGAACTAGTCCACTCATTCTGATGACAGTCCATAGAAGGCTGTTCCTTTTCCCAATGACTTTGATAAGCGCTCTTACCTTTTTCAGAGCATTCTGTTCACTATTATGTTCACAATTTCTATAATAATGAATGAATAACTTTAAAATGGATGATACTTTAATCACAGTTAGAGCTCATTGCCCCCAAGTGGCCAAAACAATCAGTTGCTTCTGATTTAAAGGTGAGGATCTGTAAGAAAATAAAGAGAACCAAACAGTGAAGCAAACTCCTTTACATGACAACGTATCTTTAATTCTGCGGCTGTCTGGCAGCGACGCGGCTGACGGTGACCAGCATGACGCATCCGTGGCGATGTCAAACAGACAGAATTTTCCCCTGCTGTCCATCAGCAAAGTTAATATTGGCCATGGATTCTCTGGGGGATGTTGAGATGTGTTAATCACAAAGCTCTGAAGCTCCATCCACTCCCAATCTCGCCATCTGCACACACCGGCTGCTGCAGCATGGGGCCAAATTCCTCTGCTTGATTTATTTATTTTTTTGCGTGTGTTAATTTTACTTACTTTTTCTGAAAAAAAAAAACAGCACAAAAACATTGTATTTGCATCATATGCTTCCAACTACATTGTGCAAAAGTAAATTATTGAACATTTGAAACGAAAGCATTATAAACCTTCACTGTCATGACATAGAAGCCTGAGTCATCACCAGATTTGTTATTAGCTTTGAGATAATGCAGACAAATAAAACAGAAATGCAACAACCCCGAATTGAGGAACACAAGTGACTAAAGACATCTGAAAAATGTCTTCAGGTCTTTGTTTCAGGTTATTGCATTTTTTTTTCTCTCCTGTCATTTCAGCTGTTTCATGTCAAACAAAGCAAATAATAACTGGATTCAAAAGCACATGATTGTAACATTTGCATAATATTTATTGCACAAAATGTGGTAGCTGAGCTAAAAATAAAGAAAATTACAGATTTATATTAGAACACACTTGTGAAATCCTTTTCACAACTTATAACATGGTACATAACGTACTGTATAAAAATATATATTTTATTTTAGTTTTATTGGGTGTTATACAAATCTTGTAGGTCATTACTTTCAACTTTACTTTCTTCCTTTTTACAAAGAGAACAGAATTCTGATCTTTTATATCCTGATTTCTGAAATTTTAGACCCATTTGGTGACATAAGGACACTGAGTATGTACTGTTAATATTTTCTATAAGTCTTCACCAAAACATGAAGTGGCTGCACTGAAACACCGAAGCAATGTGGAGTTTTTGGCTTTTGTAATCTGTTTACTGTTTAATGATGCTGCAGATTTTTGTAGACTCATAATTTGTTTTCACTATAAAAATATCATTTGGAATAAATAAAAGCAGGAAGTTTGATTCTGATGCGCTGCTTTGCTTTTTTTCTCCAACGTTTAGCATCTATGTTTTCACTCGCAGCGCCACTTGTTTACAAACTGCACATTGTCATCGTGGCACCCTGTTAGCCCCTCCTTTTCTCCTGATTTAATACTAGCACAGCACAAATAGCATCAGTAATCTACTGATGACATGATGTGTGGTGACTGGTGTTTGGCTTCGTGTCAGAGCTCTGCTAACAGTGGGGCTCTTTCACTGTAAGGCCTTACGTATGGTGAGCGTGAAAGAGAAACTTCACTGAGATGGGGGG